GTTGTGTTGTTTTTTTGAGAGGAAGGGAGAGGGATAGAGAGTTAGAAACATTGATGAGAGAGAAACATCGATCAGCTGCCTCCTGCACACCCCCTACTGGGGGATGTGCCCGCAACCAAGGCACATGCCCTTGACTGGAATCGACCTGGGACCCTTCAGTCCTCAGACCGACGCTCTATCCACTGAGCCAAACCAGTTAGGGCTGAATTTAATTATCTAATAATGTTTCAGTTGCATCTGTCAACCTAAAAAACATCTGCTTTGACATCCCCACTTTGTTTCTGTGACTCATCTGAACATGTCCATACTGTGGATTTCAACAGGATTTTAGAAAACTGAAGGGGGAAAACTGACTTGGCATTTAAAAAAAAATCAGACAAAGGGCTTGACACCATGACATTAATTTATTTCTTTATATTTAAAATACAGAAAGATAAATTGTGGACCATAAGATATTCTAACAAATAAGAAAGAAAACTTGACAGGAATAAGTTATTCAAGGGACCACTAGGTCATATGAAGACTTTTCAGGCTGCCACATTCTCCAAAGATTCCATAATATCTTATCTTGACAGACTAGCAAGAGAACATCCCCAATTCAAAGAGATAAACCAGCAGTCGGACATCCCTCTCACAATCTGGGACCACTGGCTCCTAACTGCTTGCCTGCCTGCCTACCTGATGCCCCTAGCCACTCTGCCTGCCTGCCTGATCACTCCTAACCACTTGCTTGCCTGCCTGATGCCCTTAACCACTCTGCCTACCTGCCTGATGCCCCTAACCACTCTGCCTGCCTGCCTGCCTGATCGCCCCTAACCGCCTCTGCCTCAGCCCCCGCTGCCGTGGCTTTGTCCAGAAGGATGTCTGAAATGACGTTCAGAAGGTCATTAGGCTGTCCGATCTAATATGCTTTTATTATTATAGACTAGAGGCCCGGTGCACAAAATTGTGCACGAGTGGGGTCCCTCGGCCTGGCCTGCGATTGGGACCAATCAGAGCCAGCCAGCAGAGGGGAGGGACCACAAGAGGTTGGCCAGCTGCAGGAGGTTGGCTGCGGGAACGCACTGACCACCAAGGGGCAGCTCCTGTGTTGAGCGTCTGCCCCTTGGTGGTCAGTGCGCATCATAACTACTGGCTGGTCGTCTGGTCGTAACAGTTGCTTAGGCTTTTATATATATAGATTACATGTGTATGGCAGTCTTGGTAAAATAAGTTTAAGATAAATAGTTCTTAAAACCTCCCTCTGCTCTCTGCCCATGCTCACCTGGCCCCAGCGTGAGGGCAGCCAGCCTTTGATGGGGAATGAGGTGACCTACTCATTAGAAGAAGCCATCCCCCACTGCAAGCTAATAGGGCGACGCCGTCAGGGTGAATACAGATCGAAAATAAGAAAAAAATGAATGAATTCTCCCAGTTGCAAAAGAGGAAAAGAGAGCTCACCTCCCTCCCCGTCCTTAGAGCGTTACTTTAGGAACCTTAGGCGGAATTGCGGAATTGTAAATCGTGTCTCTACCCCTTTGAGATGTATGCCAGTATTTTAAAAGCTAAACCAGTCTCCAGCCAGTTTGACAATCTGGGAAACTGTTTCTCAAAGACCTGGGAGGCGTCCCTTTGAAATATAATCATTGGGAAGGACAGGGCCCCAGCCTCTGGGTCGCCTGGAGGCAGGAGCCTACCTTCTGGGGGTGCCTGGCTCCAGGTTGCAAAACTACCTCTGGTCATAACGTCACTGGGTAAAGACAATACTGGTGCTTCTTTAATTACAGGTGGGTTTTGGCGGGACCAGCGTGCCCTCCGGCTTGAGCACAGGTATGTATGCTCCGGGCGGGCACAGCTGCCTGGCTGTATCAAAGGGTGATATTTCCTTTGGCTTTGCAATCCCTAGCGCTTGCCTGTGATGTGCCTCTGTACCCAGCAAAACGTGTTTTCCTTCTCTTTGTGGGAGGTTTTTCCGGTTCGGCAGGACATTTTCCCTTTCATTTTTTCCTGCTTTACACTCCTTTGCTATGTTTTGCTGTCTCCCGTCGGTTTGATTCCAACGAGGCAATCTCCAAGGTTACAGGCAGCACCGATGAGTGTGGGGCGCGAAGGCCAGCTGGTGGACACTCACGGTGCCCTCTGACTGTCATCACGACCGCCCCTCCCCCCACACACACACCACCTGCTCCACTCTTACCCGGAAGCTGTGTTCAGGGGGTCAAACATCACCTGCTCTGAGCCTGGGGGACATTTTTAACCTCGTCATTCAGGGCCTGGCCTGGGGAGGCTACTCTCTTGGGGCACAGCGTTGGGAGGTGGCACCAAAACACTCAGCAATGGTCCTGGCCCGTGTGGCCCAGTGGGTAGAGCGTCGGCCTGCGGACTGAAGGGTCCCGGGTTCGATTCCCGGTCAAGGGCACATGCCCCGGTTGCGGGCTCGATCCCCAGTAGGGGGCGTGCAGGAGGCAGCCGGTCCATGATTCTCTCTCATCATGGATGTTTCTCTCCTTCTCCCTTCCTCTCGGAAATCAATAAAAATATATTTAAAAAACAACAACAACAACAACAAAACACTCAGCAATGAAGACTGTTATGGGCTGAATGTGGGTGCCTCCCCCAAATCCCCCAAATTCATGTTGAAGCGACCCCTAATATGAGGGTATTTGGAGGCGGCCCCTTTGGGAGGTGGTTAGGGTTAGATGAGGGCATGAGGGTGGAGGCCCTGTGATGGGATAAGAGGCCTTATAAGAAGAGAAAGAAAGACGGGAAGCCTCTCTCTCTCTCTCTCTCTCTCTCTCTCTCTCTCTCTCCCTCTCTCTACCATGTGAGGACACATAGCAGGAGGCTGGTTGTCTGCAAGCCAGGAAGAGGCCCCTCCCCAGGGAACCAAATTGGCTGGCCCCTTGATCTGGGACTTCTCAGCTTCCAGAGCTGCGAGAAATTGATTTCTGTTGTTTAAGCCTCACCAGCCAATGGCACTGTGTTATGGCAGCTTGAGCTGACCAATCATAAGACAAATGATATTTAAATGCAAGATATTTTTTAAATTAAAATGAATGCCCCAAAGTCCACAATGAACAAAATGTCAGCATTTTAAATAGCGACAGGTTCCACCCCACTCGCCTGGCCCTAAGGGAGATGCTCCTGTCTCGCGGCACCTCCCGGCCGGCTGGTCTGTGGGAGCGGGAGGGAGAGGGACACGGGCCACGGAGCGCGGGGACTGAGGACAGTGTCTGCGGCCACGGCAGCACCGTCGTCTCAGCTCCTGCTACTAATGGGAGACCCCCTCTCCCCCTCCAGACGAGTAAGACAGACAAACAGGTTTTCTCCAAACTCATGCGGGTGGCACTGCACCCTCAAATATTTACTGAGCAAATAGGGTGTATTTGGCTCCCAGCTGGGCTCAGCAGGCAGCTCTGAAGAGCCCAGGACTCAGCTCCGCCCGGCTCTGTGGGGACGGAACCAGCCCCCAGCCTGCGCCTCCTGCTGGCACCTCAGGTGGGACAGCCACCAGCCAGCTTGGAGGAGTCTGCGCCAACAACCCATTTTCCCACGGAGGGAGGTGGCTGCCTCTTGCTCACGCTTCCCGCGAAGCCCGCCTCCCCGGAGCGTTGAAACCACAGCGCAGCGCTCTGCAAACCCAGGCCGAGGGGGGACCCAGCTTGGCGTTCACTAGCCCGCAGGTGCCCAAGCCCCGATGTCTTTAATGAAAAAGAGACCTTCCTTTGTTCACTCCGTCGCCCTGTGCCACCGGGCGTGTGGCCTTAAGGCCTGGCATGGCTGGCAGGGCAGGAGGGGCAAGGGGCACGGTTGGCTGGGCCTCCCGCGCTCTCCTGGCAGCGGGCCTGAGCGCACCGGGAGGCTTAGACAGTGCCCGGGCCTTGGGAACTGCCCTGAGCGCTGGCTGGGCAGCGGGTCCGCCCCCAGCCCCAGGTTCTGAACTGCTGCCACACGCCAAAGTCCACCCAAGCGGCCCAGAGGGGTGCCCTTACCCTCGCTTCCTATCTGTGAGTAGGTCCTCAGGGCTTCCTCTGCTCCGTGGCGGACAGTCCATCTGCTGGGGCTGTACTGCTTCTCCAGCTCCTACGGGACACGACGGGTTCCATTAGACCTCCGGCCGCCACCGTGTGCCCGCCTCCCTCCCGCCTGGGGGCTCCTCTGCCCCAGAACCCCTCCCCCATCCCCCCCCACCCGACATCTCAGGCTCCCACAGCTGCCCTCCGCTGCCTGGCTAGCCCTGCCCACCCCCCATCCACCCACCAAATAATCAGGAGCTTCAGATACAGCAAACGGCCGTAAAGGGAAGATGAGGCCCCATAAATGTGACCCGATTAACCCCAGCCGCTCAGACCCAGGGAGGCCGGGGAGCTGGGGTGGCCACTGCAGAGAAAGGGACCAGGAGTTGACCTCCCGAGAGGGTGGGATCTGACGCAGGAGGACACTGCGCAGCCGCAAGCACGGAGGTGACAAGGGGGGAGGAACGGAGCCGCTGACCGGCCAGCCCGCTAAAACGCAGAGGGAGGCCGGGAGCCTGGGGCTGGAGGACCGCGGGCCTCGAACGCCAGGCGAAGATGTTCGGACTCAATCCAGAAAGTAGGAGGAACAGGGGTTTGGGACAAAGGCACAAAGGCACAGGGGGATGGGGAAAGGCCGGGCTGGGAAATTCATGGCGAGGTCTTGGGCTCTGGAGTCGGCTGGGCCGGGTGCTCTCCACGCTCCACTTACAGGTCGTCTTACCCTGGACAGCTCACAGGCTCTGGGCCTCAGTCCCTCATCCAGGTAACGGGCATAACAGCAGCCTCACACGGTCAGAGGTCGTAAGGCGTGTGAACCAAGTAAGGCGACCACTCAGATGCGGTGACCGCCTCTTGCTGCTGACAGGGCTGCTGGCCAGGGGTCTTGGGGTCTGAACCCTCTCACCTGCACATGCTACTGTCGTGGGGGGTCTGCAGCCATGCCCGGCACAGCCTGTGACTGCTGCCATCATCCTCATGGCTGTATTCATGATGGTGACAGTGCAATGGGTTTCTGATGGGCCTCTGATATTGTAGGGGTGTGTGTGTGTGTGTGTGTGTGTGTGTGACAGAGAGAGACAGACAGACAATGGGATTTCGTAGGGGCAGGATCCACACTTAGGAACTCATCAGATCCTCAGAGGCGTCCCTGACCAGCAAAAGGACCACTGCCTACCTCACCCGCCGGAAAGCCAGTTAGGAAATTCTGGCCCGCGCACCGCAGTGCAGAGGCCTCTCGCATCCTTGGGCGCCTGGCACATCCTTCACTCGCGTTGCATAACCTCAGACTCTGGCGGGACTTCGGCCCGGACTCCCGTGGCCCATGGCTATTCGCGCGTAGCCAGGGCTTCAGCGATCCCTACCCTACAAGCGAGGCTCGCGGGCTCACAGAGGCCTGCGGGGGGCGGGGGCGGGGGCGAGAGCCCGGTGCCGGCGCACAGGAGGCCCTCAATGGCGCCCCGGGATGGCCTCGAGGGCTTCTCAGCTCCTTCTGAGAACCTCCACCTGACAATCCTCACCCTCAGCCCCGGCCTGTCCTGCCACCCGCCTACCTCTCCGGACATCTTCCTCCAGGGAGCCTCGCCCTTGCGGTCCTCCCGCGGCGCATCCATCGCGTCTCCGCTCACACCGGCTAGTGCCCAGCGCACCGCTCACCCGGGCGGACGGGGCGGGCGAAGTCAGGCCAGGCCCCGCCCACGTCCCCGCCCCGCCCCGCCCCGCCCCGGCGACCCGAGCCCCGCGGCACGGTCCGGACCGCCCTCGGGACGTCTGGCTTCGGATAAATCTCCCGCCAGCGCGGTGATTGGCCCGGGCGCCGGGGATAAAGGCGGGAGCGCGGGCCCGGCGCGAGTTTCTGCAGCGGCGGACGTGGCTTCCCGTCCCGCGAGCTCCCCGCGGCGCCATGAGCTTCAACCTGCCCACCGTGCTGCCCGGGCGCCCCCAGCCAGGCCCCGCGGGCAGATCCAGGTGCGGCCCCTCCGGTGGGCCTGGCGCGCGGGGACGCGGCCGGTGTTACCGTACTGTTTCGGATCCGATGTCCCCAGCGCCCGTGCGCAGCGGCCCCCGAAACTGACTTCTCCCTCCTCTCCTAGGTGATTTCTCGGACCCATGTTCTCAGGGAAAAGGTAATGGCCTCGCGGGGTGGGGGGTGGTAAGTACCTCCTCCTCCTCCCCCACCTGGGACCTCCTCCTCCTCTCCCTCCTTCCTCCTCCCCGACCCGGAACACGCCCTCCTCCCCGCCACCCTCCCGGGCTGGTCGCTCTGGCAGGGCCCCACCACTGCCAGACCCCGCGTGCCCACCGGGATGCCTGCCCGCCCCAGGCCTGCCCCCCAGGGCTGGGGGTCCCAACCCCCCCCCCCCCCC